GTAAGAAACATTTAATCAGTTTTTCTGCTTGTTCAACAAGATTTTTCAAATTATTTGACCATTTTTGCAGTACGAAGTAATCGATCTCGAAGATCTGCAAACTCATGGGATTACTACGTTGAAGTGCTTGCAGTGGCTGATTATAGCATGTTTTTGTATCATCAGAACAATCTCGAAAATTATCTTCTTACACTATTCTCAACGGTAATAGAAAAGGAAGTGTTGATAACTCAAAAACTCTTTTTTTGGTGTTTTTGAAAAATTTACTGCACTATTTTTGTTTGAGATTTTGCTTAGAAACTATGTCTAAACATCGACTTTACTGTTGTCAGTTTTGCTCTAGTTATTTGTTTATTTATTCGTTCGTTATTGTTTAAAAAGTTTATTTTCAATTCAAAGCTAATTTTTTATAGGCAGCTTCGATATATCGTCATCCAAGTCTCAATGCTGCCATCAATATTGTTCTGGTGAAAATTACTGTTTTAAAACAAAGAATGGTAAGAGGTTTTTTTCTGAAACAGATTCTAAAAAATAAAAATTAATAAAATTTTTTTGAACAGTGATATACTAAATCTAGTATTGAACGTTCATGCTTTTTGGAACTGAGGACCAGGTTATCAGTTAGAGAGATATTGAAATATATTTTTTAGAAGACTTTATGGCATTGTTTGTTTATTTGTAGCCCGAATTTGAGGGTGAAGTTGCTCGAGATATTCTATCTGCTTTCTGCAGATGGCAGAAGCACATCAACGATCCAAATGAAGATTCTCTGAACCATCATGATGTTGCTCTTTTTCTGACGCGAAATGATTTATGCAGGTTTGTACTTCCTTTTTTCGCTTATTGAATACACTTATTTTCATCAAGGTACATGATCTAGCGGCTAAGAAATGCTTTATTGAAGGAAGCAGATGCAAGTTTTTGTTATATTCGCTATTTTTCTGTAAATTTTGTTTGTGGTTATTACAGCTGACTTTTTAGAGGTGCCGGACAATGCGATACTCTTGGACTAGCGGAACTGGGGATGATGTGCGAACCGGAAAAAAGCTGTGCAATAATTGAAGATAATGGACTTTCAACTGGTTTTACCATAACTCATGAACTTGGCCATATGTAGGGATTTTGGAAAAATTTTTTTGGGCTTTTAGAATGGTAGTTCGAGCATTTATCTTTTGAAGCTAATTGAAAAGATGATTTGAATGATGTTTTTATCATGTGATAATTTTTTTAGAATTAAAGATTTGTTTTCACTGGTGTTGATTTGAACTGTTAATGGAATTTTTAAGTTTAACCAATGAATATTTGTAGATTTAATTTGCCACACGATCAGGATGAACCATGTAGTCAGTACACTTTGAACCAGCCAAGTAATTTTCATATAATGGCGAAAACTGTGCGATACGATACACATCCATGGTCGTGGAGCCTCTGTAGCTCAGCAGTTCTGGCGAAATTCTTAGAGTAAGTTTATCAAAATAGAATTACTTCAAAAACCTACTTCTTCTTAGTTGAAAACAACGAATAAAAGTAATATTATGGGTAATAAAGGATTTTATGAATTGCTACGGGATACAATTGGACCTTAATTTAGTTTTGATGAGAAATTTTTCACTTGCAAAAAATAGTCTACAAGTAAACTTTTGTTTTCTTTAGCCTAAAGCGTTATCGAACGCAATGCCTCCTAGACCCTCCTATTGAAAAGCGGTATCACGAGCGAGTGCTTGACATGCCGCCGCCAGGTGCAATGTTTTCTGCCGACCAGCAGTGCAAATTCTTATTTGGTTCACATGCCAGGCATTGCACGCTGGAAGCGGCTTTAATGGTTAGCTGGAATTCAGTGGATAATTAATTTTGCAGAAGTTTATGAATAATTGTTCTTTACGGATTATTTTTCAAGGAGAATGAAACTTGCACACGGCTGTGGTGTGAAGGTTATTTCGTAACTGGTAGAGGTGTTATCACAAACGGTTGCCGTACACATTATTTACCGTGGGCCGATGGAACGCCTTGTGGTCCCAACAAGGTTACAAATAGATACTGGTTCTGGAAACTATGAGAAGGAAACTTTCTTTGATATTGTTTAGCGTTCGAGATTGAAATTGGTTTTTCAGTGGTGTAATCAGGGAAAGTGTGTGGGACTTTCGTTTCACAACACGATGAGACAAGATGGTGGATGGGGTGAATGGGGACAGTGGGGAGACTGCTCACGAACTTGTGGTGGAGGTGTTCAGCAGGCGATTAGGAAGTGCGATAGTCCTCGGTAACGCATTGAGTTTAGTCTAGAACACACTTATTATACACTCTTTTTTGATTGCTTAGCGCAGCACTCAATTTTTTATGGAAGAACTTCTACATTTTAGTCCGAGCGGTGGCGGTAAGTATTGCATAGGACAGCGAGAGCGCTACCGTTCGTGTAACATTTTGGACTGCCCTCTGGACACTCCAGGATTCCGAGAAGTTCAGTGTTCTTCGTTTGATTATAAAAATACTGGTATTCACGGTGTGTCTCGTAACGCTAGATGGATTCCCAGATACGACGGAGGTAAGTGTAGCCAAAATGAGCACTTTTTTTCTAGATACCGTACATCTGGGAAATTTTTAGTCAGCTTAAATGAACGTTGCAAGCTATATTGTCATGAACATGGAAAATCTGCTTTTTATCTTCTGAACGCCAAGGTTATCGATGGAACTCCATGCGATAGAAATACCGATGACATCTGTATTGATGGAACTTGTCATAAAGTAGTCACTTTTTAACAATTTTTTTTCAGGATTTAGTCGTTTTATTGTTGCAGTCTCACAACAGTTTTTTTTCAGGCAGGTTGTGATCACCGGCTTGGATCTGATGTTCGTCGAGACAGATGTGGCATTTGTGGAGGGGACAATTCGTCTTGTCGTTTGGTTACTGGCACTTACAACCAACGTGGACATTACGGTTATACTGAGGTTGTGAAAATCCCTGCAGGTTCATCTGCTATAGAAATCACGCAGAGGTCTTATAAAAACAGAAAGGAAGATGATAATTACTTGGGTGTGTTTTAGCACAGTTTTCATTGGAAAATTTGCTTGAAATACCTAAGGCAATGACTACAAGCAAACTAACAAGTTTTTATTGTTAAACGCCGTTTCAGTGATAAGAGAACACAGAATTTGGTATCTTTCAAGGGATGATTTTTAAAAATTTTTTTAACATTTAACTTCTGCATTGAAATAACTTTTAGCTTATTGGTTGCATTTTTTTGTTATTTTTAAGTCTTACTTTAGCTTTGCGAAACGGCAACAATGAATTCATATTGAACGGTAACTACCAAGTTTCTGTCTACCCAGTGCAAGTGACAGTTCAAAAGGCAGTTTTGTGGTACTCGGGCAGTGACAATATAATTGAAAGAATTAATGGCAGTGGTCCAATTCGGTAATTATAAGTTTCGTTCTTGACTTATTATTATCAGTATTTACCGTATTTAACCTGTTATGGTTCATACAGTTGACAGTTTTTTGCATTTAAACTAGTGTTTTTGCTTTTAAATGCTTCTTTTCTAGCACGGATTTATACCTTCATGTGCTTTCGGTCGGTAGGCTTTACCCTCCAGATATCCATTATCAGTATATGGTTCCAATTGGTGCAGAGAAGCATTCGCAAAAAACAAGTTCCAGTTCATATTACTGGAGGAAAGGAGAAAGTTGGTCTGAATGCTCAGCGATTTGTCAAGGTTTAATATTTCAGCATTGCTAAAGCATTGTACTTTCAACCATGCGAGCCTCACTGTAGCACTGACACCGATAACAGCACAACTTATTGTAATCTACAGGCGTGCTGATTATGCTTTTCTTTGACTAGAGTTCTTACAGCCTTTTTGTTAACGACGATTCGATTTACCCAATTAATTCACTTAAGGTCAACAGGTGCAATCACTCATTTGCACTGATAGAACAACTGGTCGTGACGCTCCCAATGAGTATTGTACGTCTAGGCCACCTGCTGTACAGTCAAGAATTTGTAATTTGGACTGTGTGATTAAGTAAGTAATTATCAGTTTTTTCACTGCATTTTCAGTTTCGGTAAATTGTCTTTAATTGATTAACATTTTTAGGTATTATTTTTTAAAGCTTAGGAATCATTAACTCTCTTCTTCAATGTTTCTAGATGGCGCTCAGTTGGTATTGGACCATGCTCCGTTACCTGTGGCCATGGCGAAATGCGTCAGAGAAGTGAGTGTATCCGGCAGTTTAATGACGGCAGAGAAGAGGCCGTTCCAGAAAAAGAATGTCGCAATCTTCAGAAGCCAAGTGACCGAAAAGCCTGTTACCAGGATTGCGCTGGCAGGAAATGGGCTTATTCTGAGTGGAGTACGGTAATATTTCAGAGGCATAAATTAATGCTGCTGCATAAGTGGGAAGCCGTTTTGCAATGCTGTCAATATTTTGATAATTTTTTTTATTATGCAGTGCTCTGAAACGTGTGGAAATAGTGGAATAATGCAGCGACGGGCGATTTGTGTTGACCAGAACAGTAGACCGATTGATGAAAAGTTGTGTGAACGAGCAGCTAGAGAAATTACAGAAAAAGAATGCAACAGAATACCATGCCCCAAATGGGTATATTCCGCTTGGTCTGAAGTTAGTTATAAGTTAAATAATGTTGCTAGCTCTTTTATTCTAAATTTTTTTTTCACTTGATCGCATTTTTTTCACTTGATCGCATTATTTTTTTGATTTTACTCAATTGTTTATTCTAATTGTTCCTTAAAACGACTGACAAAGACTCATGTTCAGTGCTCACGCTCATGCGACGGTGGTGTTAGAGTTAGACACGCTTCATGTCAAGATGCAGCTGGCCGGGAAATAAGTGCAGTACTGTGCAACATTAATGAGAAGCATGACAGAGAATCTTGCAATGAACATTTGTGTACGCAGTGGCAATTCGGCCCATGGTCAACTTGTTCAGTCACATGTGGTGACGGCGTTCAAGTGCGAGATGCTGTATGCGTTGATCGTGACGGAAGACATTTAGATTCAGGTAGGCTCGAGTAACATTTTTCCCTAAATGAACTGGTTTTTTAGAGTTCTGGGAAAATGATATTTTCAGTGTTAAAAAGTTTTGGAAAGTATTATTTTGTTATATCTTATACTTTCTAATCTCAGGGCGGTGCAATTCGCAACATCGGCATGTTTTGAAACAGTGTCATCTATCCACTTGTCCGAGATGGCGGTTAGGTGGATGGAGTTCTTGTTCTGTAAGCTGTGGTGATGGCTGGAAAACTAGGCGTGTTGCTTGCGTTGATGCCAGCGGAAACGAAATAACGAATGAACAGTGTTTGGGGAAAGGGGAAACGCGACCTTTGAGTCATGAAAAATGTAACCTAGGCTCTTGCGCATTCTGGAGGGTCTCTGACTGGTCACAAGTATAATTTTGTTAATTCTAGTATTTCTGTTACGTAAATTTTTTTGACTTATGTCTGATTTACTGTTTTTTGTATTCAGGGTAGCAATAATTTCAGTGTTCTGTTTCCTGTGGCGTTGGCGTTCGTACTCGGAGGGCTGAATGTGTACATAATGATAAAATTGCTGACCGTCAGTTATGCGTTGAGGCGAAAAAGCCAAAAACTGAAGAGGCTTGCCAGTATGTTCTAGAAAATAAAATTTTTTTACAAGTATTAGATTAAGAAAATATGTTAAAAATTTTATTACTGTTTATATAACCAGTCCCAACTTTCGCTTATCTCAACTTTATCCTAGTTTGTACGCTTGTGCTCACTGGGAGTCTTCGAGTTGGACCTCCTGTTCGGTGACATGCGGACGCGGCACACAAACTCGTATAGTGCAGTGCGTCAATAACGGAGGGACCAAATCTAATTCTCCTGTTCTTACAAAACAATGTGATTCTGTAAGTCATTGGGGAGCTATTTTTCTGTATTTGGTCAAAAAGCTACTTGTATGTTCATCAACAAAGCATTTTTTTCTAACCACTTTACTTCTTTTTTAGAAGACTCGTCCGGCATCTGAAAGGGTTTGTCAGCTGGAACCTTGTCAAAGTTATTACAGTAGAAAAGGAACGTATCGTGAGCCGTCCAGAATTCGATGGGAAGCTGGCAGATGGTCGGAATGTTCTAAAAGTTGCGGTAGCGGTACTCAGAGACGTCTTGTAAGGTGTAGGTATGACAATCGCGAGGTCAGCGATGAATACTGTAAAAATATGTCGCGTCCAGCAAGTATGCAAAATTGCCAGAATAAACCCTGCGCAGAGTGGTTAGTGGGCAGTTGGAAGCCGGTAGGTTCCAGTAATTACTACTGAAGTCATCAGTTTGACAAGTTAGAGATTAAAGTGAATTGCTTTCGCGTTTTAGTGCATACCTATCTGTTACCCCTCGCTAAATTATTCTTTTAAACCATAAAAGTGGTTACTTTTAGTGTTCGGCGACGTGCGGATCTGACGTTGTTACAGAGAGGCTTGTAGTTTGTAAATCTCTTCAGACTTCTGAAATTCTTAGGGACAGCGAATGCGGCCTTTTAAATAAGCCAGCATCTCAAAGATCGTGTAATCTTCGCCCATGTTCTTCCAAA